AACGTACGTAATTGCTGCAGGATGAACGTAAAAACAATTTCCGGATTTCTATACACGATGACGAACACTTTGTATAAATTATATTATTCATTTCTCCGGACGATAACACGAAAACTGTGTAGGTAGGTATATTGCGATTTTCACTATCACCGTTATACTACGATTTATATACGGCGCAAAATAAATAGGTAATGATATAGGTAAGTACCTAAAGGAATAACGATCATGATTAAAAAATTATTATTTTTATCCTCGTTTTCGTATACCGAAAACTATACGGTTATTATATTACATAGAGAATTGCGGAATGTATAACGCGTGTGATGCCGATATTCTTCACGGTAGAAATATCGGTGAAAAACATACCAGTAGCTAATATCAAAGAACGTTAGAACGAAATTTTACAAAAAAAAAAAAACCATCGTCGTCGAATTATTAAAAAATCGTACGTAGATTTAGAAATTCATTCACCGATGAAAAAACTGCGTAGTGTGTGTACGAAAACGTTGTCGAATCAAATAATACATACCTAATGCAATATGTTAGGTATCTAGTAATATTTGTCAGTAGAGATACAATTAATTGTATTCAGGCCGATGTTTGAAAAATGTTGTTATTATAAAAAACGTAACAGAAAAGGAATCATTGTAAATTCAGAGTTTCCAAAACGTTTTTACGGCTAGTAAAAGCGATTCGATGGTTTCACGCCGTAACTCAAAAGACGCGAATTTACTCTCGTGCGATACCTTATTTAACATTTTTGATATTCTTAATAGTTTTTCCAAAGAAATGATTTTTATTTTTCGAACATTACACTTTATTGGTGATTAATATATGTTTACTGTTTCATTTACTAATTAGCGGTTAAATGTTTTTCCTAGACTCCTGACAGTATTTTCTAAAATAATTAAAAAAAAACTGACGATAGTCGGTACAGTCATACAGTAGTTATATAATATGTTTGTATATTTTCTGGGTCTTTTACCTTTTGGCTACAAGGGATTACATGGTTAGACCGAACAGAAATGCTCGACAATTTTATAAGAAGTTCATTATAAGTTTTGCTTACAGTGATGTCAAAAAAAAAAAAAAAAAATTAGTATAATGTAGTATATTTTTATATGGGTTTTAATACCAAATGTTGACGAATTTCGAAAATATTACGGCCTTTCAAAATATGTTAGCCGAAATATGCTCTGAGTCGTTTTACATTAGCAATCGTTAATTGTTACTTATACATCCTTATATAAATTAAATGACTTCTATATGTATTTTATCTTCCCAACTTTCCACCTATACGAGTTGCACACCCGTCCCCAGTATTAGCTCTTTTTTTGTAAATTTATTGTGTAAAATTTTCAATATGCCTGAAATTTTCAAGCCTGACCTGTCTTTTCGCATATGTGAACATATTTATATAGTTCATAGGCAGGTTAGGCCTTTTTTCTTTTCGGTTATTAAAAAACATGCGTTCAATTTTTCATGCAGTTCCTTAAAAGAAACCAAATTTCTGAAATTTTCTCGTAGTTTTCGTAATAACTGAGATAAACCGGGAAAATTTGTTTAGCTAAAATAGGAATATACACGGAAATAACGATTTTATTGTTTTCGAATTTTGAATTTATGAAATATAGTTAAAAATAATTGTAGAGACCTGACATGTCATGTTCACAAAATACTTATGTTTGACACGAGCGACTTATCAAGTTACATGTCACGTGTCACATGTTATCAAGTTACTTGTTACGCGTCTCGAGTTATTTATTAAGTTATGCGTTACGTGTCATTTTGGTTTGGTTTGTTTTAACTTATTACTTTTTTTTCATTCTTATAACCGAGGCAATCCATGTATAAACACAAATATACCAATAACCCCGTGTTAACCTCCCCACCCCTTAATGCATTGAATTCGGGAGGGAGAGAATCCTGTATGTTATTTTTAGACCAGAAATATAGAGTGTATACGCAACGTTTCAGATCGATCCGTTCAGTAGTTTCGGCGCGAACGAGTAGCAAACAACCGCCCATCATGTAAATAAACTTTCGCGTTTATAATATTAGCAGGTGAGGTGACCATGTAATATTTAAATGTCGAAATCGTTTTTCTAATTAAACCGTTCGAATCTGAAAAATAGAAAAACTGAATATTTAATAAGCACCCGTGTCGATGTGTTTTCAATAGGCCGGACCTGGCTTGACAATAGGCACACGCCGTTGTACGGGACGCGATTTTTCACTCTCAAAATATGTATTTAATCTAAACACAATGCACGTGTAGACACAATAAATAATAATTATAACCGCGAGTGTCAATATAATATTATGCTAATAACCATTGCATATTTTTCGACCTATTTTTGTAACATTGCAGTCTATAATGGGTCACCATAATAGGAAGTTTTTTTTTTTTTACATATTATTGTTATTATTAATAATAATTATTTTAGTCTTTTATCACTTATTTTTACGCACGTGGCACGTGCACGGCGGGTACATCACTGGTGTTCCGGATGACCAAGATTAAACAATCTGGGAGAATTTCCAAGAGGTTTTCATAAGATTTCATTTAACTACTATAACATTATAATAGTTTATTAAAAAGAACATAACTTTTTTTCCATTCTTAAATACCTAGGTGTTTACCCCAATTTACAGAAACTATACAGATATATAAAAAGAACATGTCAATATTGTGGTATTGACATATTCATCTGCTATACGAATACAATATGAAAAAAATGTGTTTAATAACAAAAATATACTTGAATACATTCGAATTTTTTCTAATTTGTTTTTTTTTCCTTTAATAACTCGGTCAACCGATTTAAACGTCCGCAATAAAAGTGTGATGCAATTGTATACAGAATTTTAAAGTCGAAGGTCATTTTGATGTTTTTGAATTTTGAGATTCAACTACGAATCGTTCTCGTTATCATTTCCATGGTAAAATTTAAAATAAATAATTAATTTCGTTCCGCGTAGTCATAACGAAAACGAGTAGAGTTTAAATTGTAAGTCTTTTCCGAAAACAAAAACCACACGAACAGTAGAGCTCCATCACTACAATCGAATTTTCCCCCAAAGATTTTGTTTATAATCAATCTAAATTAGTTATTATAATAAAGTTATATAAGTTATATAAATACATTTATTTATAATTTATTATTATTTAACACCCAATATACTGTTTCCTCCTCTCTCCTTCTTTACGTTGTACTACCCTTATCTTCTTTCAGGTAAAAATTTAAAAAGGTAAAGTATAGGTTGTTTTTGAGATTTGTTCTGAAATACGAGCAGACGGTAGTTCAAAGTTCAAACATTTTAAAGGTAAATCCCCAATAAAAATTGTATTTACATACATTTAATCAAATTACTTACTTTCATGAGTCTGTAAGTGTATCTAAAACCCGCTATTTCCTATAAAATCATAACATCTGAGCATAATAATGGTTAAGAGGGCGCTAAAAAAAATAAATATCATTTTCCTCCAACAACACGGTGAAATTCATATTAAAATTCAACCAAAATAGTATCACTGCAATTTATCAATATAAAAAAAATAACGGATACTGGGGCTGGGTGTGTACTGTTGTAGAAGAGAAGTAGGGGAGGTAAGATACACAAAGTTATTTAATTTATATCCATAAGCAACAATAAACCATTGCTAACGAAAACCGATTATCTGAGCGAAGTATGGTTACATGTACGTGTTTTGCAAGGCTGTAATAATTATGATTTTCGTCAAAATTTGACATTAAAATGCTTATAAAAAAAAAGATGGATATACTTCGCACGTGGGTGGGCTACTGCTGTAGTGAAATGTTAGGCGATTAGAGGGATAATTTAACGTATATCTGAACGCAACGATTAAACATTGCTAACGAAAGACTATTTTGAGCGGAGTTCAGTTAATAGTGTTCCTTTGTAAACAATAGACAATATACAATACGTCATGTTATGGTAAAATAATTGCATAAAAATACGCATCATACATTTTATTTAATAATATTTGTTTAATATTGTACCTATTTTCTCGTTTTTTCTCGGTTTTTCGTCCGTTTTTTCCTATTTATTGGAAAATACTACAGTCAAATTTCCATTCAGTAAAAATTCTATCATTGTAAATTGGACCAAAATTTCTGTTAGAAAAGTTGTTGAGAGATAAAAAAAAAAAAAATAAACATAATTGTAAAACCAGTATTGGTTGTAATATATATTCGTTTCACTCAAAATCTAAAGATTCTACAATACTTATTTTTTTTTATTGTTTCTATCACCAAGTACGACTTATTTGATATATCGATATACAAGATTACTGGTAGAAAAATTGTTCATAGGCACAAAATAAAACATAAAGCATAATAAAACCAATTGAGCTCTTACTACCGAATATAAACTAGAATTTTCGAAAACAGACACGTTTTCAGGGATATTCGATAAAATCATCAAATGTTTTTAATATTTTAATAGCTAATAAGCTATTATTATTATTCTACGTTACACTACGAAGTCTAAAATATACATATAATTTTAATTTAATTATAATTTCGAATTTATGTATATTGTATAATGTAGTATACACGCATTGTTTGTATAATTCGTTTTAACAATTTATAAATTAATTCCTTGTCGGTTGATCCGAAATCGTTAAAAACAACGAAGGTATACATAATAGAGACGTTTTTTTTTCCAATTTTTTTTTCTCTGTCATGGTTTTAATTGTTTTCACTCGCGGCTAACGAACCGGACGATGCTCTTTAACCGCATGCCTCTATACTATATTATAATACCCGCAGAGTAGGCAGTTCCGGAGGCTCGAATTTTCCACATTGGTCAATGTTTGCTTTTTTTACCTATTGGTTTATTGTGTGTATGCGTGTGTGTGTGTGTGTGTATTTCCCTTAGTTCCCCGCTGCTCAGGAGAAAGGTTTTCCCGGACGACCGCTCCGAGTAAAAGTGATTTAGTATCGCGACAACGCTTCTGACATGCCGACCATAACATGCTACTGATACTCGTGTTGTGCGTCGTGATATCGCCCGCCGTTTTATCGTCGCCGTCAAACGTGCACACGGTACTTCCCGAAAGCCACCGTCATCATGATCGCGATCACGACGACACGAAACCCGTCGACCCGGACGAACACCGCGTCCGGAACTACGTGTCCGATCACGAGCTGCCCAGGGACGTGCCCACGAGGGTTAAGATCGTCGGCGACCTGGGCACGCCGCCGCCCAGCGTCAAGTTAGATTTCGTGCCGCAACAGACTTACGTGCAGGTCAGGAGGTACGACGCGGTTAAACGGCTGCCGCAGGAAGCCGCGGTGGAAGAATCCTCGACTTCGGAAGAGTTGGCGAACGCGCCTAGACTCCGGGAAGTCGTCACTCACAAAAAGACACAAGAGGTAATTTCGTTCGACCCCGGTAATAATATAGTGTTACCAAGACCTTGAATATTAATAACATAAACTCGTCGGGATGTTTTCGATAGCAGATAGATGAATTTAAGTAAATGCGTTTCGCGTGATTAAATTACCTACAAAATTATTTGGTTTTCAAAATTTGTACACGTATCGTCATGAATACGTTTTTTTTTTTTCATATTTTACAATAATTCCGGGTTTTCTCACATATTTAGACAATTTTGACGACTTGACTCACTCGTTTGTACGAATGGGATGTTAGTGTTTGTCACCCCTTCACGTCAAAATCAATAAACGGATTAAGCTGAAACATTGCACAGATGTAGTTCTAGATCAAGAATAACATATATGATACTTTCCCCAAAATTAAACCCCCGAGAGTATGCTAACGTAGGGTTTTTGGTATTTTTGGTACGAAAATCGAAATATATTTGTTGATTTATGTGTTGTCTTGGTGATACGGATGTAAAAAAAATTACCAATTTAAAAGAAACGAAATGAAAAAATAAATAATATTTTTGTTGACATGGTAAAGCATGTGACGTGATGAAATATGTTTTATGGTTTAGTATGTGTTCCTGGCATTTTTTCTGACAAAATATTTTTTATTTATTTTTTTTTTTATAACATTATTTTGGTTACGCGAATGCTCCAAGTTTTTCACGCATTATTACTTGAAATGATGGAAAATTTCTACCAAGCGGTACTTTATTTGAAACCTTTTTTTGCATTTTTTAGCACCACCTTGAGGTCTTTTTACATTCGGAGTGTAGGGAGGGATCTATTGGTTTTACTATGTGTGCTTTATTTATTATTTATTTTTGTGTGTCTGTATGAGAACAACTTTTCTACTAAACATTTTATTTTGAAGTAACAAGTGTAGCACCTGAAAGATAATTTTCTTTAATTAGTGCATAAAGAAGGTTATTTTTTGATAGCCAAAGCAGTTTTCATAATAATTGAGAAAACCCGAAAAGACGAAAAATATGAATTATTCAAATTACAACGGAATGATTTCACTATTTTAAAATTTTAAGATTAAATTTTTTTATAAAAATTATTGTCTGAATTTCAAGTATAGCATATTTTCTAAAAGAAAATTTTTTTTCAGTTTGTGAATAGGAAGTTCTTTATTTAATCTTTCGAATATTTTTCCTAATAATTACGACAAACCGGGAAAAAACGTAGGAATTCGGCTAAGTGTACAGCGTTTGGTTTTTTTTTGTTATTTGGTTAAAAATTATTATAGAAACTTGTAATTTTAACAAAATACTTATATTGGCCTTTTGTTGACGTGGTAAATGTTCAAAACATTGTAGCTATTTATAGCTATTTGATATTTTCGTTTTTTATATGTATGTATTTTTATTTAATTAGGTATCGGCTATTAACATTTTATGACTTAAGATAAATGATTGAAAGTTTGACACAAGGTACATTATAAGTTTTTTTCGTTTTAATATCAAATTTTGATGAAAATCGTAAAAATTACGGCATTTAAAATTATGTTTTTTTCAAACTTTGTTCCGAATCTTTTGTCTTCAAAATTGATTTATATTGTTGCGTACAGATATTTATTAAATAACTTTATGTACCTTACCTTCCCAACTTCTCATCAACAACAGTGACCACACTCGTTATCAGTATCAGCTCTTTTTTTTGGTTATTTGAATTTTGTTAATTTCTAGGTTACTTTGGCAACAGTTATCAATAAGAGTAAAACACGATCAATACTAATCTTTCAAACTCCGTCCATACTCTATTCAAAACTAATTTTTCGTTAACAATTATTTTTCGAGATATTATATTATTTACTAGAATATAAATACTATTAATTAAAAGTTATAACTGTACATCTTCTAGTAGTTTACCGTTATACCGTTTATCCCTTTTAATTCGAATTTGAAGTTCATACAAAATATAGATACATTAAAACGAAATTACAATTTTCTAAGATATTAGATTAAATTTACGAAAAATAATTAAAAAATAACAAGCTCATTACAGGAAATTATTAAACACGAACAAGAGCTAAAACTATTTTTGTAAACTAACAAGTAATAATAAACGAGTAACTGTAATTTTATTAGTTCATAAATATTGATCAAATTATAAAAATTTTTTTATTCACTTGTTTATTGATTCTTATATTTACTAACCTAATAAGTGGTTTCATATTATTCATGAATTTGATTTGACTAGACAAATTTGTAAATTATTACATTTTTTTCAACAAATTTAGCTATTTATATCATAGGGATTTATATCATCGATGTAGTTTGCACAAAATATCAAAATTAAACCTATTTCCATTATATTCGATAAAATAGTGTAAGTATTATTTGAAATAAAGTGTCCGCATTTTAAATTTATATTTTTGTGGGAATTTATAAATAATAGCGTAAAAAACAAGTTTAAATATTATTGTTAAAATTGAATATAATACCTACCTAAATAGAGTTAAAGGTAACATTTCATTTTTGTTTTCTCATCAAGTTTCTCGATTGTTCATTAGATTTATACAAATACGTAATATTTATCTTGTAATATAGTACAAAAATGTCATTATCAACTATAAAATATTGTTTGAACGGTACAAAAAAATCACAAACTTGCTTTAAATACCTATATTATATAAATATGGCATTATGTTTTTCAATTGGTTCAATGAAATTCGTAAATTATGTTTTATTGATAAAGTATCAAATTTATAGTTATTATAGTCAAAAATATATGTATTTTTTACAATAGAGAATGTCATATTCTCATAAACTCATATTCTCATTATTCCATTACAGTATCTACCACACGTGTCACAATAATATAATATGTAGGTACCTATACCTACTTCTTACTTGCCGCAGTCGCTTATACGACAAGAATTTCGAAAACCACATAATTATGAAGTTTAAACCGCATCACATTCGATTTCACGACCGTTTCATATTGTTTCCCGATAATGGCACCCAAGGTCTTCTGTATTGTATCATAAAACGTATATACCTACTATACATTTATTATTATATTTCTTTCGATTCTATATTATATGTAATGTATCGTCAATGGATCTCTCTCGTGTATACTTAGTTTCTAAAATCCTAAATTATATATTATTATTCAAAATATTATGTCGTTGGGTCATTTTTAAAAAATTTTTTTTAAAACAATAGCCATATTATACACGTACCTAGTTTTGTTTTATACATTATCAATTTTGACGTTTATTTGTTTATGTTATAGTAGCGCGCAAAGTATATATTATTAAAAATGCACGCCTGTTTGGAAAATCGTCAGACAATGGCGTATCCTATTGACATAAATGAAAACCGAGTTAACGTCAGTTGCTTATTATTCACGTGAACAATAGGGGGGAAATCGATAGATTTCGCGAATTCCACACGCACGGACCGCTATTTAAATAAAATAGAAAGTATTATTATTATTATCGTTATTAATATTTTTAATTTTTAGGTGTACGAAGAGCAGGGTTATGAAGATGCCGGATACGACCACGGTGGTTCCAAAAGGTTAAAACTTGAAGAAGAAGTAAAAGATAATCATAGCGTCGAGATTTATGGACCTAAAAACGGTTCTACACAAAACAGCGAGGAGACTAAGACACACGTAGCGACGGTTTCGCCATCGGGTCGAGGGAATTGGAGCCGACACAAAATGACTACAGGTAAGAAAACTAGATACGAGGACGATGGTGATAAACGAAAAGTAATTACCGATAATACCAGTCCTATTCGTGAAAAATCTTCGGGCAACTATACGAAGTTTGACGGAGGAAAAACAATCGTTGTACAAAATTTGACTGAAACAGGAAAAAAAGATTCTAAAAACGAAGGCGCGGAATCCAGACGTGTTGCCAGTATTAGCAAAACTAAAGACAACATAGAACCGACGACTTATCGACCAGTCATGAGATATTATGATGGTCCTCGTTTTTTGACCAAACAGATTAAAAACGAATCGAAAAGAAATAGGACTAGAAATAGACCGAGAAAACGTCAAGAATCTGATTTACAAAAACCTCAATCAGACGTAATAGGAAGTTATGATAATTCCCCTTGGATACCGATACCACCACCAGCGGATTATAAAAGACCCATAGAAAGAGAAAGGCCAAGGTCAGAGAGCAAAAAACAAGTGAAACCAAAAATTAATTCTGAATTTCATGAACCTATCCATACTGCAAAATATGGTTATTCCGTACACCATGATACACCATACCAATATGTATTTCCGACTAATATAGTAACACCCGAACTATCAAATAAACCGTTGAGAAAATCAAGGCCCAGACCCGTAAAATCGGATATTATCACTGACGGAATACCGAAAGGAACGTCTTATGCGAGTTATGAATTTATTCCTCAGACTAATTATGACGGTAGTGCCATAAATCCAAAACGTACAAAATTAAAGAAATCGTCAGAAGAAAATATATCATTTGATAATGCAAATTCACCTTCAAGTATTAAACACAAAGAACCAATTACACAATTTAAAACAGATTTCATACAAAATTCCAAACAGATTGAAAGTGTCACTAACCCACGACAAAAAAATAAACCAGCTCACGCCGGAATTTCGGAATATTTCAACGGTAATTTAAAATCTGAACCTTACCGCGAACAGAAAAAAAAAGATAATAGACATAATATTGAAAAAGAATCAGACACATACTCAGATTCTCGATATACGGGATCTTTTGCTCAAGATATTGGACCTTCTAAAACTTATGATGCTCCATTTATAACAAGACTTAAAAAAAATAACTTCAACGGTGATTCTAGAGGAGAACCGTCTTTACGGATTTATCCAAAGTACGAATTATATCCAAATTTCCAAAATGTGAAACATCCTGTTAAAGAAGAAAATCACCAAGAGCAAAGACCCTTGAGTAATTTTAATAAAAAACATGTCAACATTGAATCAAGTGCAAGTTCTTTACGTGGTACAAAACATGAAAATACACGACTCTCTGAGTATCCAAAATTTAATAACAATAATAACAAACCGATAACTGTTTTAAAGCAACCATCTGAGTCTTCTAACAGTCGGGAAAATTATCCAAACTTTAGAAGTCAATCCCCTCAAGTATCAGAAGAGAAATATTCCAACAATAACAAAGAAGAGGGCTATCCAAAATTTGAAACGAATAAAAAACTTGAAAGCACTAGTTCTAAATCGTCTCCTGTGTATAGATTAATTCCGTATGAAAAGCCAGTAAAAATGAATAATCCTTATTCATACGTATATCATGATGATCATTATCCTTCTGGAAGTCGCTATAGTGGAGTTAAAGTAGAAGTAACTACACAGAGCACGAAATTTAACGACATAAGTGTGTATTGGAATAATAGGCATCCTCATTTACCTAAAGATTCAATAAAGAATATTTCAGATATACATAAAGCTCAAGATAAGTCTGAAGATGAAAACGCTCGTCACGTAGAAAATTTAACTTTAGCACATTATTCGGGACATCGTAAATCAGGTTCTAATCGTCCACTTCCATTAGAATACAATGAACGAGTAAATAATTTAGCCAAACTTTTAAACGATAATTTTCCAAAAAGAACACGTAGAGACTTGGAAGTAATTCACATCGCTTCGAGTGGTACTACCACTGAAATTCCTGTAGATACAGTTGTATATCCTCATTATACAAAGGCGCCCAAAGAATCAGCACTGAGATATGCTACAAATCCACATTTGACACCGCGTAAAACTGCTGGTGGTATGGAATTTTATGAATCTACAGATAAAGTTCAATGTACCGATGACATAGCTCCTTCAGGTAATATTGTACCAGAAAGAACTGAAGATGGTGAGTGGAAAGGCGAACCTTCAGAAAATAAACCCCGGGTAGATGCTCTTGGTGATAAAATTGATTGCTTTAAAACAAAGTATTTTGGAAGCGATCCGTTGGACAATCCATTTTTTAAAGAAAAAGACGTTGGATTCCCAGATGTATTATTTACCATAAAAAAACCCCTTGAAAAGAAAAAAGAAACTATTCAGCCAGGAAAACCACATGTAGACTGGAATTTCGCAGAAGAACTTATTCCTGGTAATTGGTTCCCCGATAAGGATAAACGAAATCGAAGGTAAATTACAATACAATATTATTGAATAGTATATTTTAATATAGTTAGTCTAAATTTATATTTTTACAGATCACATAATAGTAGCTTGCCAATCAATCATAAGGTTCATGGTATGGATTCAATAATTCCAGAACCAGTTATTATAGATTTTCCGATAAAATCTTCAACTATAGAAAACATTAATGATACAAAATTAATTACAGAAGACACTGATTCCGCAGTTGATGAACACGTTGTGCGATATTCAGTACAACATCCTAAACATACTACATCAAAACCAGAATTTAATGTTCTCAAAGACCATTCAGTAGATAGCGCAATTTTAGGCCTTATTCCACCACCCAAAAAAAATATAACAAATAAAATTAAAAAACAAAACATATTTAAAAAACCTACAGTAAAAAAAATATTAAAAAAAGTGAAAGTGGATGAGGAATTAAGTGAGTCCAATTTATTTGATATGTTTAGTCCTATTACATCTTTGTTTACAAATGAAGACGATGTTCAGGCTGCACCGATTGTACACAATTTTTTTAATATTAAAATGGTACCATCAGCAAAATTTACAACAACTACAACGATTGAAAATAATGGCAATGAAAAAATAAATAAATTTCAGACACAGCATTTTAGAAGAACTAAACGAAATATGAAAGGTATAGATTTGCAAAAACCGAAAGAAAGAAAATTAAATATTTTTACCGATACCAACGTTACATTATCCTCACCAACTGCTAGAGTCAGAATGTATTCACCAAAAAACGGAACTTGGTTTCGAGAAAAAAGAGAACATGTTTCAGTCAATGTGGATGTCAGAAGAAAAGAACCACGGTATTATTATCATACGGAACGGCCCCGAATCAGGGTAAAAAGAGTAGTTCACAATCCTCCATTTTATAGCAGAATTGGTGAGGTATTCAGCAGCAAATATTTGGTTTCAGATCAGGAAAAATCAGAAACATTGCCGGAGGAAATAAATGTAGCGTTCTCTACTACACCTAGGTACGAGTATCAAACCACACCAAAATTTATACCAGCAATCGCGTATGGGGACAGCAAAACAAAAATAATAAAATACAACGATAGTGTTGCTAACAGTACAAATGGCATTGGTACTGAACATGGCAATGGTGCAAATGGAATGAGTGCGCATGGAGTTGGTACAAATAACTTTGGTACAAATAATTTCGGTACACATGGAATGGGTATGAATAATTTTGGTACACATGGAGTTGGTACAAGTAACTTTGGTACAAATAATTTCGGTACACATGGAATGGGTATGAATAATTTTGGTACACATGAAGTTGGTACAAATAACTTTGGTAAAAATAATTTCGGGACACATGGAATGAGTATGAATAATTTTGGTACACACGGAGTTGGTACAAATAACTTTGGTAAAAATAATTTCGGGACACATGGATCGAGTATAAATAATTTCGGTACACATGGAGTTGGTACAAATAACTTCGGTGTAAATGGAATGAGTACAAATGGAATTGGCACAAATATCTTCGGTACACATGAAATTAGTACAAATAACATTGGTACAAATAATATTGGTACAAATAACATTGGTTCAAATAACATTGGTACACAAGGAATTGATATAAATAATATTGGAAACTCGCAATTAGATAAAAAAGAATCATTGATTTACGTTATCAATCCAGATACTGGACACGGTAAATGGATGCAAGTAATAAAAGTGAAAAATGAAGAAGATACAAAATCTACATTTCCGAATGGTCCTGTTTATTTAGAAAAGAAAGGTCCAGTAAAGAATAGTCAATTTAAGAATAGCCATGTTAAAGATAGCCATGTAAAGGATAGCCATAATAAAGAAACTTTTGGTAAATTTGGTTTTAAAGGTTCAACTAGAGATTTGTTCAGGAATGCATTAGGACCTACTATAGATCATAGATTTAAAGTTAAAATTCCAAGTACTGGGCCAAAGAAAGTTGAAACTAAGGCACAGTCAAAGAAAGCAGACTGTCCAAAGATAATACCGCCAAAGAAAAAAGAGGTTTGATTAATCGCATAATTTATTTACAATTTCAAATTAACAATTTAATATATTATTTCAGGTTAGAATAAGAACGAAAACGACTACAGAAATTCCAGTCATGGAGGAAATTGATGAAAGACCAGAAGAACCAAGCGGAGAAGAAGAGAATACAGAGCCCACAGAATCTCCAGAATCCGTAGAATCTCCAGAACCAGAACCCATAGAATATTCAGAACCAGAACCCACAGAATCTTCAGAACCAGAAAATATAGAATCTTCCGAACCCACAGAATCTCCAGAACCCGAACATATAGAATTTCCTGATCCCACAGATTCTCCAGAGCCAGAACATATAGAATCTTCTGAACACACAGAATCTCCAGAACCCTTAGAGGATGGAGAAGGTGAGAATGAAGAAGAGCAGCCGGATGTTATTGAACAGCCTCAATATCAACAAGAAAGCGAAGAAAATCCAAATAATTCAGAAAACGATGATCAAGAGGTTCACGAGTCCAAACGAAAAAAACCACTTGCTACTGTTAAAAAACCAGAATTCAATGCATACCAATATGGTTTGAGAAATAAAAATAAAAAAATATTATAGTTAATTTAAAAGATTTTTTCTCCATAATTTATTTTGTGAATATATTATATAATATTATGTTCATTTATTTTAAAATAATTATATTATAATGTGTTATATTAAATTGTAATTAAAATTTTATTCACGTATATTATGTAAATAAAAAAAAAAAGACGAAAATTAGATAATCAATCAAATGTTTTCAAATGTTTTGGTAATTTTATCGATTAGATCGAAATCTCTAGGTCACTATGAATAATATTAGGTATATTTGAATTAAATCAGTGGTGACTAAATACGGCCCACGGGATAGATTTGGCCATCAGAATATGTATTAATCGGTCCACCAAAATATTAAATCAAAATTTAAAATAAAAATAACTTCAAATTTTAAAAATTAACACTCACATTGAAAAAATATAAGATTACGTATACTTTACATATTTTTCTCATATAAACAATCAATACATAATAAATAATTCAATATATCACTGTAGCTATATTAAGATGTACACATACAATAAAATATAATTTTCTATTAATTTAAAAGTAAAAGTTTAAATTCTTGGCCCTCCAAAAATTACTTTTTTTTTTTATGGCCCTCTGTAAAAAAAGATTGGTCACCACTGAATTTAAATATGAGTATTCTTGTTTAAAATCGATTATTGTTCGTAAGTATTCAAAATGATAACAGTTAAACAATAATAATATTTAAAAAAATACCTACTTAATTAAATATAAAATTATAATTCACATCAACGTCTATTATTAAATAATATGATGTATTTATACTACTATTTGTCCATTTGTGTGATAAATTATAATATATCTACTCGAATATAATATAAATATAGTTTTATTTATAAATATTGCAGTTCAATACAGTTTTGTATGTAGGTAACTAGTATGCTATTAAATATGTAGGTATGCACATACTATTTTGTTGATCAATATTATTTACCTTTCTTATATATTTTTGTTTGTTCTTTTTATTAGTATGTAAGTACAAAAAAATGTAAAGCTGTTTAACATACACGAGAACTAATTATTTAATTTATTTAAAAACATATATTTGAAAATATCCGTAGATTTTTTATGCAATATTTTGAATTTTACAAAAATAAATTACGTGGTATAATAAAATTTCAATGGATACGATATTCGAATAGATATAACTATTAATACATACTATTTCAATACAAGCAAATACTATTTTGAAAATACAAGCACCATCAGTACAATAATACACTTCATAAATTAATTTTAAAAATACGTACACAAGTATCATTTAAACCAAAAAATAAAGAGGAAAAAATCATTTCATAAGATAAAATTATTATTAAAAAAATGCCAAAAGTGAACTGAAGCTTTTCTTCCTCTGGACTAAAGATATTACACAAGATATTCATGTTAAAAATGTTCAAATTTTCAAATGTTACTTTAAATATAAGAACATATTTTAATAATTTGTAATACTACGATCAGTTTTTGTCATCAATTTAATCGTGGACAATGGAGATTCTAATATTGTTATTATCAGTAAGTTTATTCATTTTTGTTCCGTCAAATCGTTGAAATGAAATCGGTTGTAATATCATTGCTCTGCTATTTTGTGCCCAGAAATAACAGAACGACGAGTTGTTTGCAGCTTTATTAATATAGCATTCCCTATTGTAGTATCTATTGCATTTTGTTTGACATTGTAGAATTATTAATAATGCCATTGATGGTTTCACGATTTCATTTTAGACCGATACGCTGCATAATAGAAATAAGTATAAATAGGTACCTACTCAGGAGTGTGATTTTTCTCATTCGTCTATCGTTTATATGAATAAAAAAAAAAAAAGAAAAAATATATTAGTCAAATTGAATGAAAACCTTTCACGTTCCACAAAATAGACAATCGTATGATTTTTTTTGGGAGGGGAGGCAATAGGTGAATCGTCTCTTTCCCTCCGTGGCTTTTACAATATTATTTTTATATTTTATCTAAGTAAAATAAGGAAATTTGTCTAGAAAAAGGTAAATATATGAACATAAGCATTATTGTGTTAAATCAGTATTTCAATATTTCGAGCATTAATTAATAGAATTATTGTAAAATTTATTAAGTCGTTTGCAATATAGATTAAATATTGTATTAATTTATCTTTGATTTTATGTAAAAAAAAAAAAAAAATACAGCTGATACTGCTGATGAGTGTGCCAATACAGTAGGTGATATGTTGAGAAGGAAGAGGATACCGATTAAACTTATGCAATAATAACTCATTATTAAAGAAAAATGATTTTGAGCAATGCGACGATTTTCGTCATAATTATACCCAAAATGCTTATGTACATAAAAAAAAATATATACATTACATTATGTTCATTTTTTTTTTATTTACCATCAGTAAAAATTACGATGAACCTTGTGTTAAATTTCCTAGTGTTTCTACCTGGCGTAACTTTGAGGGGGACAAAAGGGGCACCCGTGGATCATATATTTATATGTGACAATATGTGTGCATTGTTTTATTTTTTTTAATTTTTAAGAATGGGTGAAAATATAATTCGCCCCCCCCCCTCGTCATAGAGGCCTATTTACGCCACTGCTACTCGGCCAAAGCAATTCTATCCACATAAAACCAAATGAAACTAAACAAACTAAAAATGTCAAATTATTATAAACAGACCCGTCGCAAGAAATTGTCCGCCCTTCGGCAAACATAATGCCACCCCTTCCACCAAAAGAAAAATATATTATAATATACAATTATCAATTTAAGTACATTATTGATACAATGAATAATGTTTTACAAATTTGATTTTAAATTATTGTTTTATTTAATAAATTTCAATAGTTTAATAGAATATTATTATTTCTATAAACTAACAAACGTCTTATACCTAATGATGAAAATAATAATCTTACATAGTTATAATATTAATAAAATAGTAAATATAAATACTTGAACTTGAATTATATTATTTATAATTTGCAAAGGTGTAACGAACTAAAAATTAACTTTGAGACGGTTTTAATAAGTTTTAACTAAGAAAAACTCTCTCAGCTACAGTGACCAAAATCGTTAGAGCGATTTTTAAACTAATCGTGGTTTTGGGGTTTTCTTGTAATTTTTTATTATATATAAGCTCAAGATTTTTGTTTGGAGAACTATTTAGTTCGGTAAGTCGACGAAACATTTTTAGGTCTTCAAATAACTCTATCGCATAATATGTATTAGATAATTTATTTTCTGTTAATAAAATAGCCAAACATTTGCCAAGATTTAAATATGTTTTGTGCTCCCAGTTTTTTTAATAAGTTAATATTGTATAAAAATCCAAAATTTGAACAATGGTGGTTTAACATTGAAATCCGTGTATTATATTGTGTAATACACCATTAAATAAGATGGATCGCGATGGATTCATCGCGAACAATTGATGGCGGTTGCAAATTGGTCGCCAAAAAAAAAAAACAAAAAATGAATTTATATCAAATCGGTAAAAGATTTCCGGTAGAAATATTGTTTATAGACGGAAATTAAAAAAACAAAACGCATGGCAGTAAACTTATATCATAAAACATATAACCTCTGTAAGTCCATAAAACTAAAAAAAATGCCAGGGCATAGAAACAATATTTATAATTTCAATTTTGCGTATTCCCTTCAAACTTAAAACTCGAATTAATACCAATCTTTCCCATTTATTCGGTATAAAATTCAATTTTTTTTCTTTATCTATTTTAGTAATGGCTACCGTTTAAACAATTATGTCTAGGGCTGTAAATGTGTAGAAAAGCGCATTTTTTGTGTTTGAGAAACATAGCTTTGTAAGTACATAATTTGAATTATAAAACAACAAATCTATTTATGAAATTTTTATTTTTCATTTTTCGACATTTATATAATTTTTTAGTTAATTTTTTTTGCCTTATCAGGTCATATTAAAAAAAAATGTTTCAAACGAATAGAATTATTAAAGAATCAATCAACTTCAAAATCAAAATTCAAATTCAATCAATGTTTTTATAATTTTTGTTATTAAATAAATAAATTGTATGCATATAATATACTAATATCAATATAAATATGAAAATTAAATTAAAAACCATTTTAGTACATTCTTTGCATTTTATTGCATTTGTTAACATTTTAAATGCATTTTTAAAGGTTTTTTAGTGAATTAAATGCACAGCCCTAATTATGTCGATTCGTTCGCAATTATTATTATTATGTTTTCGGATAAGTTCAAATTATCGTTAGGATTTTACCGTTTTGTAGAAGATCACTTAAAATATTATTGTTATTTTATTAAAATCGAAAACATTACTAATTCGCAACACACCGTGAATATAATACTTATTTTTTTCTTATATATAATAAAAATATAATATAATAAGTATAATAATAACAATAATAAGTAATGAAAAAAACATTTAGGTGCCATCGACGACGGTGTTTTTCACCGTTTGTAAATAATATTCTATAGAACACGTCATGGAAGTAGGTATGTCACTTTATATTGTTGTGCCTATAATAATATTACAGTGATGTACAGATAGGTATTTTCAAGAGAAAGTACTATGGTGTTGTATTTTTCGAGAATAAAACACTCTTTTTGGATTTTTCATCAATTTCGATTATTATTACAAATGTTATAGGATTTAGATATTTCAGAAGTCGAAAACCAAAAACCTATTATAATTAGCTATAGTTACCTATAAAGTCTACATATATATATAATTTATTTGAAATTTGATTGACGAAATACATTATTGGTTAAGTACTTATACGGTATTTACCTATTTATAATTTATAAGCCTCTCACAATATATTTCGGTATTTTACCGTGTAAATTTTGATCGATTGCGGATCCAAAGGGCGATGCAGGCAATCGTGCTCCATCCGCCCTCCCATACGCTCTTTAACATATTATTAGCTTGATTGGTCACTGAGCTTATCGTAAATGTGTGCATTATATTATACGAGTATTATTATGTATGTTTAATACAACCAAACACAACCAAATACACAATTAACCGTATACATACTTGAATAATGATGAATAAAATAAAACATGGTATAACGTTCGAATTACCAATACTGGATCGGAATAATTATTATTAAAACGTTCAATACCTATTTAGTTTAAAAACTCCTAACAAAGTATTATAATGTTTTAGTTTAAAAAACGTTATCATTTCTGAAAGCAAATTTTATTCAGTTGGTGAGTTATTGAGTTTTTTTCTATAGTTTTTGAATTTTGTTTGAGTCACGAGTGGCATACCGGACGGGAAAAAATTGACATTTACGGCGTCAAAACGTACTACATAATTGTTCAATAGAGATCTAAAATACATATTTTCAAAATATTAAATAAAACTGCCATAGATTTTAGAGGGCGTCTTGATTTATTCATGCCTGTAATAGCGATTGTTTATTCGACATTTTTAAATTTCCATAACTTTTTAAACAACGCATCGCGGCACTCTCCGGAATCTTGTTCATTAAAAATAGGCGATTTTATTTTTAAAACTGAAATTAAGCGAGTCATTCCGTAGAAACTTGTTTCCATGCTATTGGAAATCAACGGCGACGGCGTTCTCTAGATTGAACTACTTATATTACTTACATATGACTATATTATTATTGTAGATTCTTTCAAGTAGTTTTCCCAAACTAAAACTTTATACAGTTGGTAGCTGTGTTTTTGACATAAAACAAACAACAATAACATTACTACCAGCCGTTCAAAAATAAAATGACGATTACCCTAACATAGTCAAGGTCGGATCTTGACTAGTCAAGCGTTCGGTCGCTTCTGTTTAATTGTTCGATACGCTTACAGCCATTCGGCGAAGGTTTCGGTGGCACAGTAAGCATATTCCAAATAATATCATATTACTTGATCAACAATGAAACACATTTGGATACAAATTAGTACAGCGACGATAAATGACGAAAATGTATTGGCACTATAAAAAATAGAATATCCATGTATATTGGTATAATAGGTATCTATATTATCTATTATCTATCTAATGTTCGAAATCGATCAGTTTTTTTTTGTTAGAATTGAATATTTCGGTAATATGCACACCGCAAATGTAATCGCAAAAATAATATCGGTGTATTATTAAAGTATACGTATAATGTTGTAATTTTGTCAAATTTCTGAAATCAAAAAAATCAAATACTATACAGCTTACCGTTTTTCTTTGTTCTCTTTTGTTTTCTGTGGAAACGGTATACGAATATGTGTTTTTAAAATTCAATTTGCTTGTACTGAAAAACTACATTAAATTGACTATAGCACTTTTTCCCCAGGACCAAAGTTAATAAAATAACGAGCGTAAACGGTTTTGACCACCCCAATAACGTGGAATATCGAACACGGACGGCATAGAATCATTTTAATAATTACCAAATTATAAATCCGGTATCAATATTCGAATTTGTCCCATTCTGTATTAATATATTCAAAAAAAAACAATTTAACTCATGTCGACTTAACCTAATATTTTAATTTATGTTTGTGTAATTATTCTGTTATACATCTATTGGCGCAAATTCTAAGAATGATTTTAAACGAATTTAATCCTGGACTTCCCCAAGAGTTCCGTCGGCGAAGCTCGGTAATTTTTAATAAAACATAAAAGAAATACTTAGAAATACGATTTTATTTGTTCGGTTATTTTTAAAACACAAGGAAAAAATGCATAGTAATTTATGCGAGAACTAAAAAAAAAAGGTTCGACCATTTCTGACTATTCTGAAAAACATATTATAATGAGGTTTATACCTAGAAATTATTTTTAGATTCAGACCCTTTTTTGGATATAATAGCTCACGAAGAAAGTGGTTTTTATTTTTATTTTCCAAGTAGTTTTCATAATAATTGGGATAATCCGAATAGACGAAATATGAAAAACGATCAAATTTACGGCTAGTACGATTCTTTTATTTAAAATTATTACGGTTTATGTTTTCTGCCAAAAATATTGCTCTTATAAAAAAACAAAACAAGAAATTTTTTGTCATATTTTAATCTAATTAGTAGAGTGAGAAAATTTTTTTTTGATTTTCCGTGTGGGTTTTAAAATAATTGAACAAAAGCGAAAAATAACAGGAAAGTTAATGATAATAAGGTTTTATTATTTTCAATTCTCAATTTTTCTTGTTAGTCAGTTGAAAACATTCGTAGAGACTTGAAAATATTAAACTTAACTTTAAATATCTTTCCCGATTTTCTACCGAAAACAATAGCACGCCCGTCCTCAGTATCGGCTCTTTTTTTTTCACTTTAATAATAATTTATACGAATAATATAATATAGAAATACTCTATCATAAAACCAAGGCGGTTTTAATTTCACTCAATACGTTTGTCGTATCATATCCGAAACGATCAGTAGATATTATTTCGTAAAACAAAATCTAAAAAAAAATGTTTGTATTGACGGATTTTCCATTTTACACTAATTACTCATAAATATATTACAACGCAGTAGGTATAACAGAAAAATTAATTATTTTATATTGAAGTTTTAATGGATTTTCAAAAATTATTTTGATTTTAAATTACAAAATTAATAATGAATAATAATATTATATTACTATACAGTTTTCATTTATATTATAATATTATATAAATATAAGAGGTACCGGACCTAATCATAATATTTTCACGATTCATTGGCGATATTGTGAAAACGTGTATATTTTTTTTTTCGATGTTTTACAGTGGATAATATATTTTCCAATCATGAACCACGGAACAGTTTGAGAAAAAAAAAAAAATTACTCAAGTACTTTTCTATATAGCAGATATCCGGTAGTTTCCGAAGACGCGTCGTTTGTCTCAGACCGATTGCCGCTGAATTCACGGTTTGATTATTATTTATTAGTCTGTATAGTATTGTGCACGAATTATTAGTTAGCAAGTAGAAATATCAACATTCTAAGTTTAATATATGTATACATGTAATTCATAATTTACATGTATTATGTGTTATAAGTAAGACTGGAAATTGGTAATTTACTACCATATGCAACAAAAAATTAACCGAGTGATATCAAAGTTTTTCAACAAACGCAAATAAACGGTCTTATTTTTATTTTAATGTACCTGAAACGAATTTATGACAATACGAGCACCACACAACAAAATTTAAAAGAGATTTTCTAGGGAAATTTATGTGAATTTGGTTTTTATAACTACGGAATTGTTTATGTTTTATTTGAAAACTGTTCAATTTTCGTTTCTGAGTGGAGTGTAGAAGCTTACGGTTTTGCAATGATAATTTTTTTTTTATTTTTTTTTATTTTTGAACAACTTTTCGACCAGAAATATTGCTCCGATTTACAAGTGTAGCACTTTTAAAGAAAATCCGACTGTGGTGGTTCATTTGGGAGGACATTTTTCGATATTCTCAGGAGTTTTCTCAATATATTCGAAAAACCAGTAAAAAAACGGGAAAATAATATATACGAATGTATAGTCAAATATTACGACCTTTTTTTTCCTGTGAACAATTTTTCTTCGATTTACAATGATAGTACTTTTTCTGAAAGAAAATTCGACTGGGAATATAAGGAGGTCAGTTTTTAATTTTCTCAAAAGTTTTCTCAATATATACATTGGAAAATAAAAAATTAAAACGGAGAAAAACCAGGAGAACGAGAAAATATGTACAATATTAAACAAATATTATTCAAGTAAATGTTTAATGCATATATGTAATTATTTTACCATAATATCACATGTATATTATTGAAAAAGCAACACTCTCAATTGAACTTTGCTCAGAAACGTTTTTTCGTTAGCAATGGTTGCTTACAGATTCCAGTCTGTATGTTACTACCTTCCCTACTTTCCAATCACAATGGTGGCTGCACCCACGTGCGAAGTATGACTATCTTTTTTTTCTTTTCCTCACGTTTGTAAATTTTTTTTCAGACTTCATGCGCCTACGTATTGGATGTAGCACTTTTTCTAAAAATTAATGTTATTTAGTAGTTACATTGAAACGGTTGTTTTTTAATTGTTTGAATATTTTTCATAATAATTGGGAAGGACCGGAAAAAGGAAAAAAATGAAAACTGACAAATGTACAGTGTTATGATTCCATGATTTTAAATTTGTATGGCTTATGTTTTCTACCAGAAATATGGCTTCAATAGAAAAATGACAAGATATCTTTTATGTTGCATATTTAATTTAATTCGTGAGTAAGAGAGTCGTTTTTTGATTTCCTTGTAGTTTTTTTAATAACTGAGCAAAACTGAAAATAAACGTAGAATGCACTTGAAAATGTACGAAAGTAGTACTTTTATTATTTTCAATTTTATTTTTTCGTTGCCATTCAGTTATAAATATGTGTAAAGACTTGCAATTTTCAAAGAAAACTTATATTTGCTTTTTCTAGACTTGGTAAATCGTTTTACTATATCAAACGAGTAAAAACTGTTCATTCAGATCCGGAAAATACCATTTTTCTAACGATAATTTTGATGCACGAAACACGCCAATATCGCTGTAGAAACAGTAGGGAAGTGTAGTAAAATCCATATTTATATTACAACCCTCCTCTATAATATAACACACTTTTCCGATTTAAGTATTAAAGTGTTATGATTCAACAAATGTCAATGCTATATACATTTTCAGAAAAATATTCTTTTTGGGAATCTATAATTGGAAATATTATTATGATTGTCTATTTTGAAAATAATTTAAAGAAAACTGTTTTGTCGTCCCCGGTGTTGTTGTCAGCCACGGATCTACTACAAAATCTGATAATTATAATAACATTACCGTCATCACGATGCTTCATTAGTACAAAAATGAATAGATAACACTCATTATAGTTTTCTATTTAGTTCGGCCTCAGGGCAGATATCACTGCGTTCGCGGTTACCCTCGATCGAGGTCGTAATATAATTACGTAGGGAAATGGCATTAAATAATTTAACGAACGCAAGTTGACGAGAAAAAAAAAAAAATGTTTGTTGACGAAAAATTACAATAAAAGGGCGAGCGGTTTCAAAATGAAAACCAGTACGACCGCGTGCAGCAAACAGACACGAGATTTAACACGATAATTTTTAATATTTTTGGACAAAGAAAAACAACCGGTTAGAAAATGTCGGCGAATAAACTCCTTATGGTAAGTATGTTAAATTTATTATGGCCATAGTATATAGTTACGTTTAAAATGTAAAAAAATAATTAAAATCGAGTGTGTCTCGCATATTATAATATACAATGAACAAATATAATTATTTTTGGACAACGTAACTATTAATTAATAATCATTTAATTACAATTATCTTTTTATTGAAAAATAATATCCTCGAAGGTACTCGTGAAACTACATAGAATGTGATATTAATAATTGTATGCAGGTACCTATATAGTGTTAGGGTAGCGTTGAACAATAGATTTTTATTATTAGAAAAAATTAGTTTTCTTAAAGTATAAATGTATAAATTTTCATTTAGAATATTCAAAAGCGGTGAATGAACACCAATAAGTATTCAAATTTAATATCATTTTGATTTTGAAAGAAACAAAAAATACGTTTCCAAATAAGTGTTTCTTTTTTTTTTTTTTTTTATAAATGGCGTTATCGTACGACATTTATCCAACGTTTTTACACTGTTCCGAATTGCGTTCGCCCGAATGAAGCGCAATCTTCAAAATATAAAAAAAAAAACACATTTTCCGCTGAGAACGTAATAAAATACAACGTGTATTGTGTGGGGTAAAAAATCGCGATTCGAAAGTGCCCAATGAAAACACATAACAGTTTTATGACTTAGAAAACTGTAGCGAATTATCGAAGCGATAACTTTATACTTGAAAATTATTTCGTTGTTTATTGTGAATTTAAGATGCGCGCACAACAGACGTGAGCTTCTCGTAGGTCGCAAAACCCGTGTTATACAATATAAAGTTGCAAACGGATTATTATCTAGATAACTTAAAATTGTCTTGTATCATTCGTTAATTGTTTTCTTTATATTTACGTAGATAAAAATATTGGTTATCTTTCTCAACACTGGACATATACAAATAATATAGACGGCTAAAAAATTCTGGTTTTTTCAGTTGATGTTATCGGTATTGGTGGTAATGATTTCCTTCGTCTTCGCCTTGCCTACTCCGGCCGATACAGAAACCATGAAACCCGCAGAAACTTCTCACTTGTCGTTCAGATTCGGCGGTTATCCGGGTTACGGATACGGATTCGACGGGGGATACGGATACGATAGCGGATATGGATACGGCGGATACCGAGGTGGTATAGGTACGGTTATCTAATTATTTTAGTTTGTGAAATTCACGAAAAATATTGTTTTATTAATAATTGTATAGTTGAGTTTAAAAAAAAAAATACCGTTTATGATTTACAGGCTTGAGTATCAACAGCCCGTATTACAACGCCTATCGATCTGGTTACATGATGAACCGCTATCCTGAACATATTTTTTTCAAATAGGTGTTAAAACCGATTTGACGATAACAATGTTTCAACGCAGCCATAAATAAATGTAAATTACACTGAGCAATCAAACAAAATTTCGTTTAATTAAAAAAAAAAAGAAACAATAATAAATAATAAATTCAATTGAAAATCATTACTGTTTTTTAATATATTGTAATTTTATTCAAAATACGAACACACTGGTACAATAGTATACGATCACGTAGACCGTATTTTGTGCTCAGTTACGCGAAAAGATCATACAATTTTCGGATTTTGGGTCTAAATAAAAGACAAAAAAAGCCAAAATATCGTCTAAACTCAAAATATATTAAAAAAAGTCCAAACTGTTCATTTATTATTCGTTAATAAACTATATACTTAATTGTAAAATAAAGTATTAAGAATATAGTATTGCCATTCGTTGTACAATAACATTACATACGAGTAGTATTGTTTTTATTAAACATTTAACGTAAATTTCATTCTTTGTACATCTGGTATTAGGGGAAAAAAATTGTTAAAGTAGGATACGCAAAGTTAATTAATTTATATTTTTACTATTATTTAATCACAAAAAAGTGGTTTTTTTAAAAAAAAAAAAAAAAACATTTTTTTTTGTTAAAAAAGGCATAGAGAATTTCGATAAATCGTTAAAATAAAGTATTACCGGGCCAAAAATCTGCATTTTCTGAGGTATGTCGTGAATTATTATTGTCGTATGCATTATTAATAATTGAAAAAATATTTTACGAGTAGAAAAAAAAAACACGTCTAAGTAAAAGTAATCGAATCTTTGCGTTACATTCAAAATCTAACAGAGTAGTAATATAATTTATGTTGTATTGTATAATGTTTTTTAAGTCGTTTTTTTGTTTATGGCTTTGTGTCGATTACAAAATAATATACACATTAAACGGGTAGTAAAATAATAAAATATTATATTATATGGTGTACATTTTAATGGTGACATTTAACCACACTATAAAAACCGAGAAAATTAATATCGGTAGTCGAAACAATATTAACGTAACAAAATAATAATGTAAGATGATTAAATTTAATCGTAGGCAGGTATCAAAACACGATTTTAGCCAATTATGTAAACGCGTAAACTTTTTTACTCGAAGACACGCGTGTGCAAATATCACCTAGGAGATAAACCGTGTTAATAATGTGTAGGTGTTTTAATTATAAATATTATGTACTTATTGTTGTATCCGGATAATCCAGTAGGCGTTAAATAAATAAATAAATAAAAATAACATATTTAATTAAAATCGGCTACTATGAATTTTATGGTCGAATTTATGCTACGAGAGGACACGGCAAAATAATGTTCAATTTTACGGTATGGTCACAGCTAGGGGAGGGAGTGCTTAAAACTCTCAGTTTTAAAATTCGCACCCTGGGCATTTGTGTCATACATTAATTAAAATTTCCAAATATCTGTTGAAAACAATAAAAATGTTCTATGCAAACATGTAGGTATTGTGGAATATTTTGTTAGCATTTAAACGTGTACTGATTTAGTTAATAAATGATAGGGGGAGTGGAAGCCTCCACGTTTTACAAGCACTTTAGAGTTTTATCGATATACACAAACAGTAATATAATAATATATTCGTAATTTTCCTTTAAAATCAATGATTGTATAGCAATATATATAATATACTTAAATTCTAAGTGGCTATTTTACTCCATCGAGTAGTAATTTTTGTATATAGGAAAAATAATTTTCTTCGTGTTCCTACGACGGTCTTTATCAACGGTGAGATTTAAAATCAACAACAAAGCTCCATCACCAAAATATGATTACCCCTCGGCAAACTTATTGTTGTAACGATAATTCATTTCATTTTTCTTTTTTTTTTATATTGATTTAAAAATTGAAATCTGTAAGTATCATTTAGACTCGTGTGAAAACATGAAATTTGATAACACATATTGTTGTGTGAAAGTTGAAACCCCCAAAAGACACATCCTCCAACCACAACCAAATGGATAAATTTATATTGATATTTGACCAGACTTTTAAAATTTCATTCTGCTTAAAATACAACTCTTAATCTCGAGTTGTCAGTTAATTTGGCCCATTAAGATACCGCTAAAAGTGTAACAGGAAAAATGTTTATACATGACAGACATAATAATACATCGCAATAGTCTCTATTTTCGGAAGGAATTCAACAAAAGGAAAACGGCTAGTTCAGTAGATTTATAACAATATAATAATAACTAAGGACTTACCGAAATGATAATATTATGAAATCGATAATAAGATGTTTAAATTGTTCAATAATATTGTATTTCCAATAGAAAAGATATATCAAAAACAAGTTTAGGGAAATAAATACAATGACTTTATAATTATAATATTTTAAGTTATAAAGATTTTAACGGGTAGGTGTACGAAAATATTATTACTATTTTTATTATTATGATTGAATTGCAAGAATAAATAATGCACAAACATACGGATTGGTCTCGAATTAGTAAATAAATAGCAAATGAAAAAAATGTTTAAAATTTGTCATTGTTATTTTGATAACAAGAATTTCAATCATTAAAAATATTTAATTAATTTTGTTATGACGAAAATTCGTTATTAAATATGATTTAAAAAAAAAAAAATTAATAATAATTCAAGCAGATAGAAAATCGTCGGAACATCATTCGTTGGCACATAATAATATTACATTTTTACAGTTTTTAAAAACTCTATCATCTTATAACAATAATATTACGAAACGCATTCAATAAACGAAATATTTTTACAATAAATGCAATTGCCTTGGTACACCATGTATAGGTAGGTATCATTAAGATTTTTGATTTAATAAAACTAAGACTAATAATATAATATCTATACTTAATAATAATAAACTTAAACATTTTACCAATATTTTGATTTAAATTGTGATTCAAGTCTTTTGAGGTTTTTTAAATTTGTTTTATTTTATTGTATTTTTGATAGATTTTCGACGTTTTTCGATTCTGATGTGTATTCGTAATCGCTCGATTTGTCATTTTCACCAGAAACGTAGTTTTCTCCGTCTAAAACACACGTTAAATCAGAATTCGTATACCTTTTCATTGGATAGGCAACTAAACAAACTTTTCAAACATTGTAATTTAATTACATACGAGTTGGTTTGGCTGCCTGACAAACAAACGAAACGTTACATACATATTTATAAATTTAGACTGCTCGATACTCACTAAACTACGAGACTAGGATATTTTTACGGACGATTTGTTTTAATATATAATTTAATTTAGTTACAAGAAAAAAAAAATAAATAACTTCGATCATTTTCGTAAAGTAAATATTATAAAATCAATAGTAATAAAATAATAATAATAAAATAATTCATTTTTTTTTTTCAGTATTAATGTGACCATCTCGCAGTTTGTGAAAAACTAATTTCGAACACTTCCCCAAATTATTCGAACACAAACCTTGCAAAATACGTGTCGATAGGTGAATTAATGGCATCTGCCTATCTCGTAGCTTTTCCTGTTCTAGAAATCTGGATCTACATAGAGAATATTGCATGATATTATTTTAGGACGATAATATTTTTAAATATTTTTTATACGTACATTTTACGATTCGTTTTACTAAAATGCGGAAACAAGTTCAACCGTAACAACAACTTATCCCTGTCTGATTGCCGATTCGTCGACGTGTGCTGCACTTCGGAATCACCGTCTTTCTCGTCACCTAGAAAATCCAATTTATAATTATTTTGAAACTCAAAGTTAGTTTTTACAGACACATTAAGTAGTTATTTTAGTCCTATTCGATATTTCAACGAATTGATTTAAATAGAATACTATTTTTTTTTTCGAATAAGTTTTCAATATAAAGCTCGAAATGAAAATATTTTAAAAAAATAACGATACAAGTAAAACATAATTAGTTATAGATTATAAAAAAGAAATACAAATTATTATTATGATTTTAACTTAATTGTTCGACTTTAGAACTTATTTATGTTCCTATAACACCGTTATAGATTGCTATAACTTTAAGATGCCTATCACTGCTATGTCAGATGATACTACATGTAATATTAAAAAGTTAAACCATTTATTATTCAATCCAAGTGGGGTCGGATTAGTCGGGTCCTAATCAAACATCGGAATAAAATATTATAATATATTATCTTATGTATAATTATCAAATTAATGTATGTTTTTTTTTTTACAGATATTAAAAACTAAAAATATTGTTTGAAAATGATCCGTTTTAAAATTAATTACAAAATTATCTTGAATACATTTTTTTGAATGCTTGGTTTTAATTATAGTAATACAAGAATTTAAACAACTTATTTTGTTTAAAAAAAAAAAAAAACCATATTATTTCTTCTTGAGATTGAATCTTCAGTTTATTTTTTTTATTTGATCTAGTAATTGAATGACTGATACCATTGAGCCTGAAAATGTTTAGTAATGCCTCGGGACAAATTTAAAGAAAATGATTTATTTTACTAGATGAAAAAAAGCAATTGGAATTAATTAAAAAACGTGTGTTCTCTTTTATCGTTAAATTTACCCGATATGTTTTTATTTATTTTTGGTTTGTTTTAATATAATTTTTTTTTTCGTTAATGTAATTATACATTTTAAGCTGTAAAGTATTAATGTGCCCTATTTTATTCCATATCTTATAATTTTATAGAAGGTCGTATGTCCGTTGAATACACAATCAATCAATAAAAATAATATTACTGTGATCTTCGTCGTCTTCGTCTTCATTGTCCGATAACGGATAGATGTCTAGCATTACGCTTATGGGCTTTTGGTTTTTTTTTCTACGATTTTTTTTTATTATCGTCCGGGGTGTTGTCACGTCAGGTTCCGGATAGATATTTTCGGTAGTCGATGAATGGTACACCAAGTCGGTGAGTGATGGTGGGTGATGGAACACCACGCCGGTATGCGATGGAAAGTTAGCTGACTCTTCTTGTACCGTAAGATCGGCCATGGGCACTGCGTCCTTTTCGAAGTTCACCGAGAAATGGGCGTCAGGATCAGGAGGCTTCATGAAGTCATCTGGTAATGCCATAACGGGTGGCTTCGGTGTGTATATAAACGGTGGGCCGAACTTATTCCGGAACCTCCGGGTTGGATCACTGGTCGGTGCTACCATGTCCGGTAGTAACCGATTTACTTCTTCCGCAGCCCGAATGGGTACGTACCGCGTTTTAGATTCTTGGGCCGTCATGTACTCTTCTACGGGGACGTCAAATTTACGCGGGGGTGAACCTACCGTAGTCACATACTTCATTACGTCCAGTATGCTCTTAGGCGGGAATGGAGCCTGATAGGCCGTTAGCTGCGGGAAATCCGATCTTTTACCGAAACCGTACACGCTGTCCGAATGATACTTTAGTTCGCTATCCATTGCATTTTTCTGGTAGTTGGGAAATCTTACCGAACCGGGATGAACATCATCCGTAGGCCGCTGCGTCTTAAACGTAGTTGGATACAACCGCATGCGTCTACCGTATTCCAACCTGCCGTTGTCGTCTAATCTGTTTGCCGCTGTAACGACGTCTTCGCCGATCGTCGGAGAGCAAGTCGTCGTGTAGTTTTCGGCGTTTTGTAGGCCCAGCACGGCGTACAGGAGACCATCCGATTTACGGACTACTGGATCGGTCGTAATGGTCGTCAACTGTTTGTCTTTAGCATATTTCGCGTAGCTCATCGCTGGCCCCGTGAACGCCGCCTGAGTCGTAGGAATCGTATAATCCGAGAACGTAAAGTACAGCTAAAACAAAAGTACGTTCAAGTTCAATACATTGTTAATGTTAGTCAACGATGCACTTTTATATAAACTTGGGCTTTAAATAAAAAAAATAAATTAAACATAATATATGGAAGGAACTGAGATTGTGAGTATTATGGACTCACTGAGATAAGAAAAAACGACGGTTCTAGAAATGAGTCGCTATAAGTATATGGATTAGGTAACTGCGAAACAGAAAAAAGTGGTTGTCAGAGATCTTTGGGGAAAATAATATAATAAGGGAAGTGGATGGAAAAACCTATGGTGGTAGATAGAAAGATGCGGAGAGTGAGATTAACAGTAGCCGACTCCATTTCTCGTGGGATTAAAGCGAAAAAAAAGAAGAACGTTGCTAGCCCTGCTGCAATGAAAACATACTGGAATTGGTTCTGGTACCATAACTTAAAACATTTTGGAGAACCGATGTGCACAAAGTTTTTATGAACTGCACAATAAACCACATACATGAATCATACTTACAAGGTTATATAATCAAATTATTTCGAACCATGGAACGTATAATTTCGAGCTGACTGTAGTTTCGTGTATGAACTATTTCATCGTTATTCTAAGGATAGACCAAGTTGAAAGTTTTACATACTTAAGCAGCATACTCGACCAATATGGAAGATAAATCATAGTAATAAAACCTAGGATTGTACAAGCGAAAATTGCGAGCCTAAGTATATGTCTGAAGTGTGAAACTATACGGATGTAAAACTTTGTTAGATTGGAAAAATTGTAACAAAATTTCTTAAGTTTCAAGTATAGGAAAAAACGATGCGATTGACTTGGACAGAAAGAAAAAGTAACAAATAACAGTAGACAAAGCAAACTAAATGTGATAAGATACTAAGTATGGTTAAAAAATGCTTAATTATGATTGGACACGTTGTGCGATACGGGGTTCTATATATTACAATATAAAAGAAATTAATGATAAAAGAGATCGAGGGCGTTCAAGGATATCGTAGATCAAAAATCTATCATTTTTGCCGCGGGACTAACAAATTGCAGAGGATTGAGGAGGTTAACTGATGACAAAGTTAAAGTGATATGTAAAGAATAATATTACAGGAAACTGCAAAACTGACCTTAGGTCGATACCCAGCAAAAATAACAAATCCGTCGGGTAAAACTCCGATTATTAGGAATATATAATGTTCTATAATACTACGGAAGACTGCGGTGCGGGTAGGACCTAAGTAGAGTAGTACAGTAGATCGCAACATTTTTTATTCTACACGATACACTCCATTTGTAAATTTTAAAAATCTCATACTCCCTTCCCCCTTTAAATTAGATTAGACTATTATAATTTAGACGGCCTTTTTTTTTAGTGAGCCGTACAAATAAATTTTACAAAATAACTGTATATTACACATTATACAACTGAAATCAATGTATTATTTTCAATTTTACTGATTGTAAAATCGAATAATTATTTTAACAACAAAATTCTCGTTATTTTATCATCACTATATTCCCCGGTGCAATATCTCAATAACCCCTCGGGAGGAATGCCCTCGCGGTAGGGAACCATTTGTGTAGTATGTGGGCCTGAATTTACAAAATAATTTAATGACCGTAAAAGTGTTCGTCTTACACCTAATATGTTCAACGAGAATCCATGCACGTAGATATGTAGAAAATAATAATGTATCGCTTTCGTTTTTGTCGTTATTAGAATAAAGCGTGTTAATTTGTGAAATTCAAATATCGTCTATGCCGCGTAAGTGTGTATAAAACGAAAAGTGAGTTCAGTGTTGCGTACACGCGTCGGAGGATCGCAATTTGTATACGAGATAATAATAACGAAAAAAAAAATGTAAATGTTATTATTATAAACGTAATAATTGTAGTGTTTTAGTGCGGGCGTGTATGTATAATAATAATAACATATTAAATACATAATGAATTAATTCGGCCGTCGATTTTCTAAAACGTACGTGTTATAAACGCCTATATCATCTCGCGTTGAGCAGCGTTTTAACCCGAGGCGCTTTCGCCGCGAAAACCAGAGCGCGTGTCCAAAATAATGAACTCTGAACGCCGCGGTTTTTTTGACGTTATAATAATAATGGTAATCATCACTAACATCGCATCGCCGATGGCGTCTAATTGTAATTATCACTATATTCAAATAGTATGTACACTGCGAAATAATAATAACGGTACGGCAGTTTTGCGGTGTCGGCGAATATCATTATGCGCGTTCACGGCTCGATTGGCGTCCGCGATTCGCGCAACCGCTCGGAAAACGGAACCCAAACGTAATAACGCACAGTACAATAATGTCAACACGCACCAAACCGCATGTAAAATAACGTATGATAATTGGGTGCAAACAGTCGTTTTCCCGTGGTTTTACGGTTGTAACGTATTCAAAACCAACAATAATATTGGAATAATTATTTTATCGAGTAAACGCAATACAATATAATAACTATATAGCGATTTATTATGCAGTGGCGGGTCCAGAGCTGGATTTTTTTTTTGTCCTAAAAAAAATGACTGCTAAGCAAAAAAGTCAGCCGGGCCTACCCACTTTTCTCTGAAGTTATTTTATCTGGCCTAAACAAAAAACATATTTCTAGTTACACCCCTGAGATGGGTGCAGCCAATGTAATAGATGTAATAGATGAGAAATTAAGGAGGTAGGACACACAAGGTTACTTGATTTATACCTGTGAGTCATTGATAACTTATTTTTGGATTGGAGTAAGATTTCTAATAGAAAAATTGTTTACCGACAGAAACAATAAAATATAAAAACAAAAATAAATCATAGGGACAATTAATACATTCATCGCTCCCCTCTGGTTTCCTCCTTGAAAATCACGTATATTATATAATATAATCATTTGTGGAAGTAAAAACTTTTATACAGTCTATAGTTTGCAGAGAGGAACGAGGCCCTCGGCCTTTTCTGGATCCATCAATGATATTATGTACATACCTAAGTACTTGAATGAAATTTCAATTGAAAGACTCAGTGCAACAACAACACAAGTCCACTTTTCGAAATTTTTTAACAATAAAATAAAAACCGCTTGTCTATGGTACTGGTCTTATTTTTGCCCAGAATTCGATTGAACTGCACCAAATTATATAGCATATTTTATTGCTTTATTCGAAAGTATCAAAAAGTAATTTGGGACAGGGACTTATACCTTATTGCTGCACTAAGCACTTCAATTTGTAAAAGTCCACTTAATTTCCAAAAAAAAAAAAAATGTTTTCATTTATAATAATTTTTTCCTCGTAAAATACAGCGATGCTGCAAATGCCGTATCTTTAATTGCGGTTTTGAAAAATCCCTCGATAATGTACAATTGCAGTATAACATTAATAAGAATTATAGATAATTGATAATTGTATTAATGAATGAATTAATAAAATTATCAAGCTGTCCCGCCTGGTGTTTCCCTCACCAAAATACTTGCAATCCAACAATGAACTAAGAACCAGTTTCCATATCAACTACTATTCATCGTGGGTTTCCTCTCGACAACTATTACGGTTCAACTAATATAACATGGACAAACTTATAATTATTTTTTTTTATTTCGTTTATTTTAACCTTTTTTTTACTTCTTCTATAACACTACGCCACAGTGGTTCTCAATTTTCGATTCATGTCATCCTTATCCACAATAATCCAACACTCAGTCGCTTTACCAATGCAAAGTCCATTGAAATTAAAGAAAATTCTAGCTGCGGTATCGTTGAAAAGTGAATGATGGGGTGGAAATATTATGTTGTTTGGACGGCATTAGTGATAACATTTACATGACGGCAACGGCAATAATATGATATTATTTTAAAAAAGCTCTCTTATTTTTCTTTTACCCCCGATAATTTTGTGTCACCGCTACACTAGGTTCATGTCAATCCAGGGCCATATGTCATCTTGGCTGAGAACCACTGCACTATGGTAACCAATAAATAATAATAAAAAAAGTATATTTTCGTACCAACAACTCATAGTCAGCCCTCCTTTAGGAGTTGAATTCTGTGGGGTAGGGGATTTACCTATATTTTATTTTTGGTCTAAAACTACTACAAAGTTTCAACTCAATCCATTGATTAGTTTTTGCGTGAAAATGTCACAATAACATTCTTCAATATAAACAAATTTTTGCATTTATAATATAAATAGAATTAAACAGACCCCCGGGTTCTTTGAATTTTGTTAATTTTTGGGTTACCTTAGTTTTTTTGTATCCACGTGTTGTTTTATACCATTAAAGCGATAAATGTTTACAAAATAAATTGACTTAAAAAAATCGAAGGTGCGTACCCAGTAGAGCATTCCGAAATTCTAACCGAAACTGCTAAACGTTCTAAAATAATATTATATGTGTACGTTTTTTTAAATTTGGGCGTTTTTGAAACAAGGCGATCCAGAACGAATTACTGTGGCGATGAAGAGAACACACTGAAGAAAATGATGAAGAAAACACTGAATGTGTCGTGAACGTTCGTTAAATCTCACCTTTGACGGTGCGCGTCACCCGTCGTCGATTTTATGGAACACATGGAACACATTGCAGTAACCGGGACATTACACACGACAACGACGCTAATTTCGGTTTAATAAGACCGGATCGTCACGCAGTTAGGTTAGGTTATAGGTGAGGTGATGTTATTGTTTTTTTTTTTCCAGTGTTTACCGGCGATGCTTATGACATTTCTGTTACCTACTTGTATGTATGTTCTATACGTAGATGATAACTGAGTCCACTCGCATGGGATGAAGGTTAAGACGATATCTTAATTCCTTATCCCAATCGTCAGTGCACATGAATAGCGACACAGTTTAAAAGTTACCATTTTCGATACTATGTATGTATTATGAAAATATATAGCAAAATACCCATTATTTATTATTTCTAAAAACCGTGGTTTGAAATCACTACTTTCAATGTAGTCCACTACCTGCACTATCGCTGTATTTCTAAAAACAGAAGTTTCCTATAATAGGTGTTTTTTTTTTATTTTTATAAGTGTAGAGGGCAATAAAATTCCTTTTTTTTAAATTAGCCTACGTTTTTAAAGCGCTACATTTTTCGACTTATATACAAGGGAAATTCTTTTTATTTACGTCAATCTTATAAAACGTAGTAATCCACGTATTGATTCTAAGAACAAATAACAATAACAACAATTTATTGATGTTTGACGTTTCCGAAAAGAGAAAAAATAAGTATTGTAGTTTCTTTTTTTTTGTTTTACGATAGATTAAAATAACAAATAATGGAAACATAAACTAAGTAATATTTCATGAAATTCGCAGTTTTATTTCGGTGAAAAGCTACGTTTAAAGTAGCGAATTTCGCGCTGTGCTTCCGTGAAAAATGTAGTGTTACAGCGTTTTACGTCACCCACCAAAATAAAACCGTACGCTACCAGATTGCTACAAAAATGGTATTTAGCACGCTAAAACAATAGCATCGCTACTTCCAATCACTATCTAAAAATAACCGCAAAATAGCTGTCGTGTCGTATCGCATAATCGCTAGTAGAGCTTTTATCATGAAGAATGAGAGGAATTAACGTTTTGAGAATAATTGAAATCATTTTTTGCAACAGTAACACAAGTCAAAACAAATTCTAAGTATTATTATGTTTTTTTTTTTATTCATTAATAACGCAATTGTTGATTTTTGTGGATACGATATTATCTATATGGTGTGAAATTAGAGTGTTGTATATTTTTAGAGTGTTATAATTACAATACTTACTATTAATGTCAACAAAACAAAATTGTTAGAAATGCAAAATGAACGCTAATTTTAACTATCAAAAAAATTTAATTTAAAAATCCAAAATCACGACGAGCATTGCAAGTAATAATAGAAACCTCGAACGGCTGTAACGGAAACTCGACTTTTTGAGTTGTGTCGCTATTCTCGTGTACCGACAGCTAGGCAATGCCCGGGCATAGTTTGCTATTTCGAGTGGTTTTCACGCGAAAAACCAAAATCGACAGGATAAAACGTGACTACGGTATAATAATTTGCGAACATGCTTACCACTATGGCGACCGCGGCCATCAGGGACAGTACCAACATGATTCCGGTGGCCTTGTCGTCGGCGCCGACGGGCTGTTTCCCGCTGTCCGGCTCTTTGTAGATACCGAACTCGGACGCGCCGATGGCTACCCGATGATTTCCGTCCGGGGGCCATTTCGCCTCCAGTTTGACGGCATCCATCTGGTGCAGGGGCGAGATCCACGGCGAAACTCTCACGTTAGACGGTCCGGACACGGATTGCGGATCGGTAAAAACCGCGCGGGCTCCGTCGCCACCGCCGCCGTGGTCCGCGCCGCTCTGTTAATTTTCCCCTCCGAGCGGCCGATTCGCGACGCGCACTTCGGCGTTCGGCATTTACTCTTGTTTTCTACACCACGTTCACTAAGGCCGTGTATAAACACCACACCTCAGCATCCTGTCCGGAAGTCTCTATGTGGACAACATTATTGTCGTGCCCGGCCGATAGGCGCAAACAGTGGCGTGTCCAGGAATTTTCAATGGGAACTATTATAGCAAATGAGAATCATAAATAAATCGTAAAATCCAATTTCTAATCAATATACATCAAGCTTTTCCTCGTAACTTGACTGAAATATATGCATTTCGATAATAGATTACTCATATATTTTTTGTACTTTTAAGATTATAGGAGGGATACAATTCTTCATCTCTCCTTCCCACTTCGTACGCCACTGGACACAAAGGTCATGAGTGAATTGTCGAAACACCGTAGAAAAGATACAAAGTCTAAAAGAATCATCTACAACGGTAAAACAAAATAATGAAAAAAAAAATTTTACATAATAAAATAATTAAAACGATATTTTTAATGATAAAAATCATACATAGTAGTTTGTCAAAAAAAAAAAAAAATTAAAAATTCTAACAATAAAGAAAAGAAGGTGAAAATTCGAACTTGAGGAAATCTAAGGTATTAACCTAACAGTTGACAAATTCAACTATTTTTTCTGATAAAGGCTTAATTAAAATCAGATTTTCAACAAAAAAAAAAAGTCTACTTCACTAGAAGACAGTAATGTTTCGATTTTGATTAATACTATAGGCATTCATGTTTTTGGGTTTAAATTTCGATTGTAAATACTGGTATTACACATTTTTTAAAAGTTTTTCCAGATATATTTCTTTTTTTAAATTTTCATCGTACACGTCTATACAAATTCGACTTATTCGAAATAATATTAAGAGTGTGGGCGGGAGGTGTTCAGGGCATTTTAAAGCTTTTGACCGAAGAAATGCTTTTCACGCGAGTGGTATTTGTACTATTTTTATTTATACATATTTTTCGACATTTTGTTCGCATTACTCGAGAAATTTAGTACGCCGAATTGTTGACTATAATATGGAGACTACTGCTTTTAAATAGTATAATCACAGTCGCAGTTAAACTCTGTAGGGGCCAGACGGAACACATTATACTATTACTATAGGTTCTGAGGCGGACAAGAATCTCCGGCTGTGATCGCGTGTGCAATAAACACGTCATGTCTAACATTTCGTCCAGTCGACTTATTTAATGGCCGACAAAAATTGTTTTCCAAGCTATGCGTAGAAACTGTCCGGATGCGGCACAGCAATTCGTTTTTGTTATCGTCAATTTCCAACTACATAACAGTATCGGATAGTTTAAGAGTACGTGATGCACCGTCGCCGTCCTACAAACGTGCGATGTAGGAAAATTGGCGTCCAACAGGCAGATATATTTTGTGCCGTTATAGTTTTAATAATCGAGCGGATTTCATTGAACGATAGTCAAACTTGAAGATAAGAATAGTACTGTCTACGCAATCACGTCGGGTTTTTTCCCCCGCTATTTTAATTTTCAAGCGAGATATAATGCATTTTTAGACTGTGATATTTCACATACGAGTATACGAGTATACGATGTATCGCTTGAAAATAAATATATCGAAAAAACCCGACGTGGTTGTGCAGAAAATGTTCTCGTCCTTAAATGTGATCATAGGACAATTCACGCTCATATTAAAACCGACTGCATAAAGTCGACCCTGCCGAATGCAAAGTTACTATTTCGTAAGACGAAGATAGTAAAAATTTACTTTTAAAAGGACGCTACACCACCCGTAAATTTGCCGTAAAATTGCTTTTACGTGGTACAAATTTACGGAGATACTATTCAAGGTAGCCTCACCAAATTTGTACAGTACATAGAGGGCAACTTTTTATGACGTAGCGTTTTTATATTTTTGATACGGCGCCCAGAAATGATGCGTCCTCTTAATATAATTCAAATCACACTAATTATACCGATATTATTCTGGTGATTTTTAAATTTATTTATTTGGCATTTGATATTTTCGATTTGATTGGGTTTTGTGCAAATAGACTTGATTTAGCGGTTGGATATTTAACTCGAAGTGCATCATAACTCATAAATTGTAGGTACTACTAACCTAGCCAAAGTGTTATACATTTTTATCTTAAGTTTTTTTTTTACAGTTATTAGTTTTAAAATTTGTTGGGAATCGTCTAGCCAAATGTTTCAAACAATAAGTACTGCCGGTCAAAAAAATCGCATCGTTTAAAGTATATAGGTACCGTGTGAAAAATCGCCGCATTTTACTAAACAAAAGCGGTTTCCGGGAAGGAACAAGATTCGTGTAATGCGATACTCATCAATATGCACAGTTTTGAAATGTTAATTTATAGTATTGAAATAATAATAACTCAATGTTGAAATAAAAAAATAAAAACCGAGAATAATAATATTATCGATCGTATAGTGATGTTTTATCCCATCACGTTAGATACTTATATTTTATTTTATTTATCGACGTCAAACAGTGACAATTTATTTAAACGGGTATTGCGCAACACGATACATAATAAATTATATCAGGTGTTGAATAAAACACTCATACGAATGGAGTTGCATCTAGAGAGAAATCTGATTAATATACAATTTACAATATAAGTTAATAAGTTATAATGGAATTATAATATAATAATATTATGTTTACAAAGTGATAACTGATAAGTATATTATTTAAATATACATGTATGCAATTTGTGTGTGGCATTATATTATGCATAATACGCCGACCATTATATATTACAACGTCCACTCTAAATAATCGCGAAATATCGGATTTCGGGTATGTTATAATATTGTTTTTACGACCTCGCCAACAATGTATTATGCAAAACGTATGATTATATAGACGCGTCAAACCGAATAATGTACATTAAAAAAAAAAAAAAAATTATTATGCAGTTTATCGGCCATATTTCGAATAAAACATTATTATTGATTACGATTAACTGATATTATATGTTCGTGTACCTGTATAAAACACATAGGAGAGTAAAAGGTGTAAACTATTCGAATACCTAGTCCGAATCAAGAAACGTAGCGTCCAATTTGGAATTAAATTAATTTCAATTTCGACGAGAACTCGCGTTCTGGTACTTATTTCAAATAATGTTACAAAAACACTGTTGTAGGTGACCATTGAAAACGCAAAACGCGAATCAGAGCGGAGTTCTGTTTATTAACAGAACACTATTGTGTTGCTTTGTCAACAATATGTAAGTAATATTATGGTAAAATAATTATTTATGCATTATACATTTTCTTTAACAATATTTGTTTAATATTGTATCTATTTTCCTGTTTTTCCTACGTTTTTTCTCGGGTTTTTCTATTTATTAAGATAACATCTAGGAAAGTCGAAAAATTACCTCTTTAAATTACCATCCCAGTAAGATTTTCTTCCAGAAAAAGTGCTACACTTGACATTGTAAACATTGTAAAATAAATATATTTCTCGCTCCACTCAGAATCTAAAAGGCCGATGCTGCCGATTGGTGTGCAACTGTGGTTTAACGGGATGTCAGGAAAGTAGAATACACAAAGAATAGAGTTCTTTAATTTATACCTTTACGCAGTCCAGAAACATTGACAATAAAAACCGATTCTGAACGGAGTTCGGTTAAGTAATTCTTTAAAACAAATTTATATGGGACTATGTTTTAGCAAAAAATAAAATTGTTTTGCGCTATTTTTTTTGAAAAATTTGAAGATTTTATAGTTTATTCTTCTATAAGTGTTGACGTTTCAATTGTTTATATTCATTTAACCTCATTATTTTTATGTTTTTTTTTTATTTTAGTCAGCAGAAAAATACTCTAAAAAATAATGATAACTTGGTATTATTTCAAAACGTATTAATATGAGTTGAGATAATATTTTCAAAACACTAGTGCGGTGAAAAATTATACACTATACTTTTCTGTATTCTAAAAAAAAAAAAATAACCATCACGATATTAATGAAAATAAAGACCGACATACCGACGTCTACATTTGCAGAAGAATAATAAACTCTATGGAAAGGCTATCTAAAGAAATTGTCGAATATAATAAATATTAATATATTTTTTAAAATTGTTCAGCAAAAAATACAAATTTAATAAAAATATGCATATTTTTAGGTCATATTGAAAATATATATATATATATATATATATATATATTACAATGGGTATAACGTCTTTACGGGACACCTGCATTTATATCTACAGAATGATTCATTAAGCATGCTTATTCCATTTTTATGGATAAATTATGCATATGTTAAAAATTCTGATTTTTGGAATTTTTAAGTGCTGGTAAAAAGTAAAGAGTATCGTGTAGTGATACCAACTTTGGTTTTTCAAGAAAGAACTTATATTATAAATTCCTTAAATAGACGGAGTAATAGATAAAATACGTTTTGCTGTTGACATTTTTGATTTCCGTCAACTCGTTCACGAGATATTCCATTTTTAAGTTTAAGCAAGAGGACAATATAGTCGCACAGCGCCCGGTGTTCGAATATTGAATTTGAACATGATGCATAATTTGCCCTTAAAATGGAGTGAGCATGCCCAATGAATTATCTTGTATATTATAATAATTGTATAAAAATAGTTTCCTTACATTATTTTATTCTATTATTTTCAGACAACTTTGTATCGAATTTCAAACCTACCTAAAATTAATCATAATAATAAAACGAAAAAAACCAGCACAGATAGACGAAAACAACTTTTAATAATTAATTTTTATTATTATTATTTTTTTTAAATACAACCAATACAATAACACGCGACGTTATATAAATACATCATAAAAGAAACTTGTTTGAATTTATTATGAAAACTAAGTAAAATATTATACAACTTTTAAATATATATATACAGAGTGT